CTTTAATAAATAAACCAAACAAAGCCTCATTGTAGAACAGTCACTGCCAATATCACCCAGTATCCCTGCAGATGAGTTTTAACAAATGTATTCCAGTGGTCTGCAGATTTTCCTCTACATACAGCATTTTTAAAAAACACATGAAAACGGATAAGTTTCCAGACTAAACTAATGGAGAAAGTACAATTCAGTGCAAAATATTTTAGACTGCATTTCATTCTAGTTTTCCTCAGGTGAAGAAGTGGTTGCATATTATTAAAAATGTAACAAAAGCAGCTAATGCTTTCATAAAGAATATTACTAGGGATCACACCCCACCCACCTCCCCCCATTTCTGCCATATTTTGAAAACAAAATAACATTTCCTATAGCCAGCAACTCTTTTTAATGTTACATATACTATTCTCAAGGCACATCTGATGATATATTTTATAACACAGTAGGTGTCAGAAGTATGTTTAACATATGATTTCCTCAGGATCCCTCCCCTTTCTGAATTCCAAATGGAGGAACTGAAGGTACAGATGTAAAGACTGGCGATCCATATTCTATCTTTGGTAAGCTTGTACAAGCACTATTGTAAAATGTAATGTGTAAGAACTGTAAACTAGGAACTTCGTCAGTTTATGAAACACCATTCAGGACTGCTGCTTCTTGACTATTTTCTTCTTTTAAGGTATTACTCTTTTCTTCTCCTTGAGTATCATCGCCAGAAGCGCTAGTTGGGCCATTTATTGCCTTTTTTGAGGGACCATGTTCTTCAATCACATCTTTTGCCTAGCCCATTTTCATTAACTGAAGCTGTGTCAGATTCAGTCATTCCATCCATCAGAACAGCATCTTCATCAGTCCTTCGTCTACGAGACCGCCTACGACGGTTAGTACTGTGGTGAGATTCGCTGGCATCAGTGTCTGCAGTCTGATCTGATTCTGTATTATCAAGTAAGCTGTATGGATTGCTGTCTGGATCTTTGAGCACAGAACTGATGGAAGATTTGCCACCACGTGGTCCACCACAACCTTGACCCCATGAAACACTTCTGCCTCTTCCTCCTGGACGTCTCCTGCTGTCACGTTGATGTCGACTCTCTCGAATATCTTCTCCTGCCAGTGACCAATCACTCAGTTCATCTTCACGTTCCGATTCTGTTTCAGAGGGGTTAGACAGCTCAGAGTTTGTACCATAACCGGAGGTGTAACTGGGGCCCCGACGACCTCTGCCTCTTCCACTATAAGACCTAGAACCTTGTACAGAAGAGACGATACTTTCATCAGTGACATATCCTTTTTCTTTTTCAGGCCCTCTGGTGGAAGAAGGTCTGAAACCCATACCAATCTGTCGTAGCTGTTCGTCAATCTGCAGGCGTTCCATTCTTAGCTGTTCTTAGCAATATGATATTCCAAAAGCACTTGCACATTTCCAATGCTTTCTTTAGTGCCAACAAATACAAAAGGAACCATCCCATCTTCTCTAGGTAGTTTATTTTCATTATCTCCTTCAATTCTCACTTGAACCACACCAGATTTGTCCACTATTTTCTGAATAACTGCCATTTTTTTCCAATTACTTTTCCAACAAGATTCCTAGGAACCTGAATAAAGTCTTCCACAAATTCCAGGAAACCTCTAGCCTTTTTTACAGCATCAGCACTCTCTCCATAGATTCTAAATGTTCCAGTATCTTCCTCTAGCTCGATAGCCATAACTCCAGAAACCTTCCTAGCTTGCTGTATGTTACTACCATATGTTCCTATTGCCACACCCATTAAATTTTCTCTCACAACAAATTCCTCATGAAAAGCTGCTGCAAGTTGTTTTTGTACATTCTAAATGTTTCGTGGCCTCTTCATTTCTGGACATAAGCATCAATTTTGTACGAATACTTCGCAAATGCATGTCACTTAAAATATTTACTCTCTTCACAGTGGCTTCACTGGCAGACAGTATCATGAGCTGAGTGGTTTCTGGATGGTAAAATATTCAGCATGCTCCTACTGCTTTCTTAAAATCTTTATGTGCATTTTCATTAGCACACGCTTCTCTCAAATCCTCAGGCACATCCACGTGCATTTAAAGAAGGTATTTTTTTGACAGTTTTATTTTGATTGACAGGTCGAAGTCGTTCAAATGTGACTATTTCATTGTAAGTGGCATCACAAGCAGTATATTCAATGACATAAAATTCTCCTTTCATCATTCTAACTTTAGCCAACTACCAACCACATGGTTCTTGGTCATTTGCTCTTGAATAAACCTCTACTTCATCCGCTTCACTTATCTCTTTTTTTATAGCAGGTGGTGGTGGTAATCTAACTTCATGAAATGGAACCTGGCATTCTGGCTGCCAATTATTTTCAAAAATGACTGTGAGGGAATCGTCATGAACATCTTTGATAAATCCCTTGTAGAAAGCCCCGTTGGAGCCGCGAACCTCCACCGTCAGCTCCTCATCTGTATTCTTAAGTGAATTCTTATCATAGTAAGACCTTTGTATTTACAGAAAAGTTGCGAAGATAGTACAGTAAGTTCCTGTATAACCCATACTAGATCTTCCCTGTTATTAATATATTATTATGGTGTATATGCCACAATATGTACCACATGATGTAAAACTGGATCCCACTGTAAAATAGTCTAACCAGTCTGGAAAGCAGTTGGATGTTTCCTCAAAAACACTGAGCATAGAAGTTTCATATGACCCAGATCTTCCACTGCTAGGAACATTGTTGTTGTTGTTATGTGCCATCGAATCACTTGCGACCCTATGTACAACAACCCTAAACTCTGCTCTGTCCTGTGCCAATCGCACTGTCTCTGACACTCCCATCCCGATTACCCCAGTCACTGAATCAATCCACCTAATAGAGGGCCTTCCCCTTCTGCGCTGTCCCTCCGCCTTCCCAAGCATGATAGTCCTCTCCAAGGACCGGTCTCTCCTTACAACATGTCCAAAGTGTGTCAGATGAAGCCTCAGAATCCTTGCCTCTAAGGAGTAGCCTGGTTTAACCCTCTTCAGGATGAATCTGTTTGTTTTCTTAACAGTCCATGGTACCCTCAATACTCTTCTCCAACACCGCAGCTCAAAGGCATCAATTCTCCCTAGTCATTGCCCAACTCTCTGATGCATGGCAAGTGACTGCAAAGACCATGGTCTGTATCAGACACACCGTAGTCTCCAGAGAGACACCATTGCTCTTCAGTACTTTGGAAAGGTCCCTACCAGCAGACTTTCCTATGGCAATATGTCTTTTAATTTCCTGGCTACTGGTGCTTAGAGTGTTAACTGTGGAGCCAAGCAAACTAAAGCTGTGAACAATCTCAGTCTCTTCACCATCCATCTTGATGCTTCCAATTGATCCAGTGGTGAGAATCTTTGTCTTCTTAATATTGAGCCTCAATCCATATTGAAGGCTGCAGTCCTTGATCCTCTGCAGCAAGCGCCTCAAGTCCTCCTCAGTTTCAGCAAGCAGGGTTGTGTAATCTGCATAACACAGATTATTGAGAGATCTTCCACCAATCCTGATGCCACATTTCTCTTCAGAGCCCAGCCTTCCTGATAATCTGTTCTTCATACAGGTTGAAAAGGTATGGAGATAGGACACATCCCTGGCATACGCTCTTCCCAATTTTGAACCATGCAGTGTTTTCTTGCTCTGTCTGACCACTACCTCTTGGTCCAAGTATAGGTTTCACATTAGCAAGATCAAGTGATCTGGGATTCCCATTCTTCTCAGAGTCAGCCACAGTTTGTTATGGTCCACACAGTCAAATGCCTTTGCATAGTCAATGAAACACAGACATTCTTCTGGTATTCCCTGCTTTCAGCTAAGCTCCATCTAACATTAGCTATAATGTCCCTAGTACCACGACCCCTTCTAAACCCAGCCTGGACTTCTGGTGGTTCTCTGCTAATGTGCTGTTCCAGTTTTTTTTGGATAATCCTCAGTAGAATCTTGCTTGCATGTGAAGTCAATGATATTGTTTGATAATTTCCACAGTCTGTTGGGTCACCCTTCTTTGGAATGGAGACAAATATAGATCTCTTCCAGTCAGTTGGCCAAGTGGTTGTTCTCCAGATTTCTTGGTACAAGTTGGTGAGCTAGGAGCATACTCAAAGGAAATTAAAACTAAGGCACAAACAGAACATGGAGACAGCCTGAACGTCCAACCACAATTGAATGGATTGAGAAATTGTGGTACATTGACATGATGGCTTGCCAACCTTTCCCACACAGAGTCCCTGGTGGATTTGAACTGCATAACTTTAGGTTGGCAGTGCAATTCCTTTAACTAGACCATAAGAACTCCCTTTCTTGATATTGTTGCTGTATGCCTTCGAGTTGGACCCAACTGATAGCTGACTGTCTGGTAGGTTTTCAGAGGCAATTAAGTGCACTGGAGGAGATTGCCCATCTTTTTCCTGTGGAGCAGTTGATGGATTTGAACCATGTGCCTTCAGGATTGCAGAGCAGCTTCTTGATATTAGGACCAGTAATTGTTTTAGCTGTTGCAGTCATTTAAAAATTTCAGTGAGTTGTCTCATTACCAGTAGCCTCATTGCCAGAGAAAAACAAGGGACTTGATTGAAAAATCAATGTCTTTTGGACCCATCCATGGTTGCCTTAGGGAGCTCTGGTGGCCTACTTAGTAAGAAGCTGTGCTACAATTCCAGAGGCATGCTGTTTAAATCCACCAGCTGGTCTGCGCAGGAGGATGAGCAATATCCCCATGTGATTTACTGCTTCTGAAAACTCGCTGGAAGGTCACCTCTGCGTCAGTTCCAACTTTGTGATAGGCAACAACAACATGGTTGCCTTGTTCTGGAACTCACCGTTTAACTTTAGCCTTGGCTGTATCTTGTCATTATATGTGCACATAAAATTTTTATTTTTGGATTGAAGCAATAAACCAAAAAAATACAATGAGCTGCAGTGAGAGAAGCACGGGGTTCTTGTGGCAATGGCTTCCTGGTGACTAATGTCACACTTTCTCCTCCTCAGGTCTGACCTACACGACAGTCTTCAGCTGTGAGGCTCACAATGACAGGGGACTGACGGTGACCAAGGGAGTACAGATCAACATCAAAGGTAGGCGGCAGAGCCACAGGACAGGGGCACTGGAGGGTCCTGGGCAGAGTGAGTGCAAAATAGCCAATGAAACTCAAAATGCTAAAAATGGCCAGACTAGTGAAGGATTTTGTTAGCAACCTCTGGTAGTCATAGCCTAGTTCTAAGAAGCTACACTGCAATCCCAAAGGCACCAGTTCGAATCTACTAGCTGCCCTGTGGGAGAAGAAAGGGAAGTCTCCTCCTGTGTGATTTACATCTCTGAAAACCCTCTGGAGGGTCAGCTGTGATTCGGTTCTGAATCATCGGGATACAGTAGTGTCTGACAGGTGCTGGTAGGACCCCAAAGACTGGGGCCCTTAGTCCCCTTTGAGCCTGAACCAAAACTTACCCCTATGGCCCAATTTTCAGCTGAACTATAGAACAATCATAGTGGCAAATGGCAGCATTTTCTCCAACTTAGATAATGTTCCGAGGGCAGGAAGGGTGAGGACAGAGGATGAAAGGAGGCAGAATCCCAGAAATCATAGGAACTGCATACTGATGTGGGGAAAATATTTGGCAATGACATGTCTAATAAGGGACTTATATCTAGAATTTATAGAGTACTCGAGCACAACAAGATAAAGGTAAACAACCCAATTGCAGAATGGGCTCAGGATATGGACACTTCACCAAAGAAGACATTCAGATGGCAAGCAAACACATGAAAAAAATGTTCACAATCCCTAGCTCTAAGAGAGATGCAAATCAGAGCAGCTATGAGACATCATCTCACCCTAGTCAAAATAGCAAAATTCAACAGAGCAGCAAACAAAAAGAGCTGGCAATATTGTGGAGAAACTGGAACCTTTATTCACTGTTGGTGCGAGTGTAAAATGGTGCAACCACTCTGGAAGGCAGTATGGCGCTTTCTCAAAAAGTCGGAAATAGAAATACCATTTGACACAGCAATTCCACTACTGACAATATGTTGTTGTTGTTATGTGCCGTCAAGTCGCCTGCGACTCATAGCGACCCTATGTACAACAGCCCCAAACTCCGCTCTCTCCTGTGCCAATCGCACTGTCTCTGACACTCCCATCCCAATTATCCCAGTCACTGAATCAATCCACCTCATGGAGGGCCTTCC